TGCTGGCGCTGACTACCCCCAGTGATGCTCCTCTGGGATGAGCCACTCCGACCACCTCCACCACCGCCACCCCCGCCTCCGCCGCTACCGCCGCCACCGCCACCCTCGCCCCCGCCGCTCCCACTGCCTCCTCCGCCACCACCTCCGCCGCCACCTCCGCCTCCACCGCCGCCACCAGTACCTCCAATCCCACCTCCACCCCCACCGCCACCCCCACTCCCCCCGCCGCCCCCACCTCCTCCGCCACCGCCCCCGCTAGCTCCACCCGCTCCCTTGCCCCCCTTGCTCCTGCCAGAGCGGCGCCTACTGCTGGGGGCAGACGCCGCACCGACCGACTCTAAACCAACGAGGTCGGCCGCAGCAGCAGAGGCGACAGAGGGGAGCAGGGGGGAAGGAGAACACCCCTCAAAGATGGGGGTGCGCGGGTCACCACGAGAGGCCCCTACAGCGACTATGCTCTTCTCGGCCGCTAGCAGGGACTTCTCGAGGAGGTCGACAGTGAGGGTGGTGGGACAGACAGAGAGAAACTGGTCCCTAACAGCACGAAGGGACTCAGGGAGACGGGTGACTAGAAAGTAGAGGGTGATGTACATGGGAGGGGGGTTTTCGGCGAGGAAGGCAGCAGGAAGCGCAGCTCGGTAGCGAGTGTCGCTAGCGCGAAGGTGGGTAAAGAGGTCAGTGACTGTGGGAAAGGCAGCAAGGTCAGGGAAGAGGTACGGTAGCATGAGGCGGCTCAGTGTAGCAGTGGAAGGGGAGGAGTAGCGTGCAACTACAGCGTCGTACAAGGCCTGAGCGGTCTTGCACTGACTAAAGTGTGCACGCTCGGAGGAAGGGAGGTGGCGACGCACAGCAAGACGTGCAGCAGCATCGCGTGTGGCCCACTTGGAGCGAACAGTGGGGTCAGCATCAGCAGGAGGGGCAGGGACAGCGCCAGAGACAAAGTCAAAGAGAGAAACCTCATCGATCGCATCGCACAGTAAGTACAGCTGCAGGTCCTCAATCCAGACTGCAAAGTCAATGGCGCGACCCTCAGCGTCAAAAGCCAGGACACTGGGGGTGGCCATCGTAGCAGCTGACAATCTCACCGGGCAGGAAGAGTCGGGAAGCACAGCGGCACAGCAACACGGCAGCACAGCAGCTGCGCCGGCCCAGGAGCAGCAGCAGCCCCACAGGAGCAGGAGCTCGGCACCTCAGGTTGCTCGGGCGGCTCGGGCGGCTCGAGCGGCTGGGGCGGCGCGGGCGGCTCGGGCGGCTCGGGCGGCTCGGGCGGCTCGGGCGGCTCGGGCGGCTCGGGCGGCACAGGCGGCTCGGGCGGGTCTGCTGCACGGGCGGCTCGGGCGGCTCTGCTGCACGGGCGGCCTGTTCGGCTCGGGTGACGCGGGTGGCACGGGTGGCGCGGGCGTCGCGACGGGCGGCTCGCTGGCGGCTCGCGGGCGGCTGCACGGGCGGCTCACGGGCGGCTGCGGGCGGCTGCACGGGCGGCTCACGGGCGGCTGCGGGCGGCTGCACGGGCGGTCCACGGGCGGCTGAGGGCGGCTGCACGGGCGGCTCACGGACGGCGGCCTGGGCGGTCGCGGGCAGCTCACGCTGGGCGGCTGCACGGGCGGCCGCACGGGCGGCTGCATGGGCGGCTGCATGGGCGTCGCGGCGAGCTGCTGAGGGCGACGCACGGGCGGCGCACGGGCGGTGCGACAGGCGGCTCGCGGGCGTCGGGCGCTAGGGCGCTAGGGCGACGACGGGCGGCGCTCAGGTCCTAGGGCGGGCGGCCGTCAGGCTCTAGGGCGGGCCCCGCTCGAGCTCTAGGGCGGGCAGCGCGCGGGCGCTAGGGCGGGTGGCGCGCGGGCGTCTAGGGGCCGTTAGGGCAGATTGAAAAAAAAAGGAAGTAAGAGGGCCCGGAGCGCGCTCCGGGCAGAAAAAAAAAAAGTTACGAGGTAGCAGAGGTGGGCCCTAAGAACAGTTCCCTCAGGGGAACCTGCTCGATACCATGAGAAGAAGTGAACGAGGATGAAATGACTATGAACGAAGTGAGTACAAATAGGAAACCCTAATTGGGTTGTACCCCCTATGGGATACCCCACTATAGCCTACACAAATAAGTAAGCTATATGTTCTGACATTCCGTTGAGTGACCGAATATTTGCAATTTTTGCAGTAATATTGGCGTGGTCGTGAGTCGCGAGAGTCGCGAGGATCGCGAGGCCGTCGTTGATCGCGACCACAATAGAAGGCGATTTGCTCGCGTCGGGCCCCTTTTTCTTTGTCAAAATCCATGTCTTGTCGTTCGTGCAGGAGTGTGGCGCAGAGATGCGCTGGAGGGCAATAGTGACGAACATGTCCTCACGGTGCCTTGTTGTGGGAGTAAGGCTTTGCACGGGTTCCACTAAGGTCCTAAGCCTTGGAGGGCAATAGTGACGAACATTTCCTCAGGGATTGTGTTTCCTAACTTTTGCAGCTGATCGCGGATGTTCCAACATCGATTGATGTAGGCTATTGCCTTTTCTCCTGGTGTCATGTTGACTTCTAGGAGCTGTTGGAGAAGACGACTTGATGATACGGAGTCCTTCGGCTGATATGTTTTGACCAGGTAGCTCCAGGCAGTCGTGGCGAGGGCCGGATCGTTTTTTAATGGCCGTATGCCGAGTTGTTCGGCCCGCTACATGTTGCGGAGCAGGATACTGTATGCCATAAGCGATTCGTTGTAGTATTGGGCTTTTGCTTTGTTGGTGTCGCTTGTGGGGCCAGGGTAGCTTCCGTCGAAGAAGCAGAAGATCTGAGCGATTTTGGAGGAGCAGTTTGAGCTCAAAACTCCACGTGTAGAAATTCCAACCGTTGAAGGCGGTGCTTGTACGAATCTTGGAGATAGCCAGAAACTTGCTATGGGCTTTAAGCATGGCTTCGTCACTTGGGCGTAAAGTGGTTGGAGCGGCAGAGTTCGACCCAAGGTCGAACGTGGTTGGAGCCGGTTCCTTGTTGGGAGCAGCAGGTTGTTCGGGTTGCTGTTAGGCTCCGGGGTTTCCGTTCTTCATTTGCTGAATTCCGGCGCATGTTTTCGTAACTGTCAAAACATGCGTTACAAAAGATGATTAAAGCAACCTGAACAGCTAAATCAACTACTTTAGGTATGTAAAATATACCAACTAAGCACGTGTTGTAAGTTTCAGCTAACGGGGTTGGATTGACAAAGCACACCTAATCGTAGTTAGCTAAATGTTATTGTGCGAACATTCTCTAAATGGTTCAGTGGTTGAAACTGTTACAATATGAAATGAAGTTATAGAATCGTCTCAGGTTGTTCGCGAAACTTTTAGCAGCAGAAGATTGCTTAGTGAATGTCGTCTACGGACCTTGTCAGAAGGAGATTTGAATCTCGACAGAAGTAACTATAACAATGCGGTACAAGGGTTTATATAGGAATACAAGGGAATACGAAAGGTCCTAGCTAGCCATGTACTCTGAAGGGGTACATTTCCCTTAAGGACTAACCTACATTGGGAATGCCAACCATGTGGTTCAGTAAGAATACGTGCCACGGTAACCGTTTGAATGCATTTCTCGCACTTGCACTTTGAATTCATTTTGCTTTCAACCGTCTTCGATAACTGTCTGCGTTGCTTGGTCTTCGTCCTCACTGCAGTCATGTTCGCGTCAAGGATTCATTGTTTCATGAATGTTATTCGACAACTCCATATCGTAGCAAAAATAATTTCGTTTAAACCCTTGCATTTTATAATTCAGTAACAGTAAATCACTTTTGTGAGCAAACTTTGGTCTTCCCAATAGTTATAAAAATTCTCTCAGCGAACTATAAGTTTGCGTGACTGCAGAGAACTTTCTGTAGAAGCTCTTGTTATAGCAGAAATCTCTGCACTTGCTGCACACACCTGTGACATGCTACACCAACACAAGACAAAATAGAAAACGCACACAAAATGCAAACGACAACGTGACACGCAACTAACAAAAACTCACTATTTACTCGACACAGGCATTCGGCATCATGAATCATCATTCACACAATTTTATACGGTAAGCATGAATCATATATTTTCTCATGGTCTCATACCATTCCATGCAAGCATGCATACGTGTACTCGCAAGGAGAAAAAGGCAAGTGCAAACCATGAGGTTGCACCATTAACCTATAATTCAAGCTGTGTAAAGAAGCAGCTGGTCAATATTACAAAGAGTAAGGGAGTGTTGTTTGTATTGGTGCAACTTAATGGTGTGCCCTCTGCTTTTTCTCTTTGTGTGCAGGTATAATCGAACCCCAACTTAACTAGGAGACATGAGTGCAGGTTTCCTTGGAAAGCGTTTGTGAGCACATTGTTCTTAAAGAACGCAAGAAATCCCACAAATGATTCACTTAATAAAACATCAATTTTATGTACATGGTTTCTTACTATGAGAAAAGGGGGTGTATGGAGAGAACCAAGCGGAGGGAGCATGTCCATGTCAGGGTTCGCATTTCCCGGCCTTGATCTTCACTTGGTCCGGAATGCACACTCTGGTCGACTTGACGAGCTTATCGATGCAATCGTAGCCGTTGGTCTTCCTGTAGCACCCTTTGATTCCACGGAAGTACTTGACCTGCAGGCCAGTGCAGCGGTCGCCAGTCCCAACCACGTACGCACGAGTCTTGGGGCACACTCCTTGCATGAAGCTGAACGAGCTGCCTATGCACGCCTGCACTTGCCATGCAGTCAAATGCGAGTGTGGGGGAGGGGGGAGAGGGCGGGGACAGGGAAAAAGAGGGGGTGAGCGTGTGGAAGGCGAGAAAGGCATGGAGGTGGAAAGTATGTAGGTAGGTAGGTAAGTAACCAGCTGCAAAGAGATGCATGACGGTGAGGTGAAATCGGAAACGAGTTCTCAAGGAGGTGTTTGTACATGCATGCTGAATGAGCGGCGGCGGACAGTGCAGCACAGATGGTTCTCAGGGTCTAGAGGTACGGACTGGATGAGTGAAGGTGTGGAGGGGAGAGTTATGGGAGAGGGTAGTGTGGTCAAAGAGGAGGGCAGACCTCGAAGCCTGTAAGGCTGCCAACGTCAGTCTTGGGCACGAGGCGGCTGCACTTGATGCCGGGGTTGAGGCGGAAGAACTCGAGAGGGGAGAGCGGCGGGGAGGGCACGGAGCGGATCTGGTCGCACGTCTCCCCGGCCTGCACCAGATAGAACTGCGAGCACACCGGGATGAGCAGCGCCGCTGCACTCTCCGCCCGCCGCTCCACACACACCGCCTGGCTGCCCACCAGCTCCCCGCTGCCGGAGCAGTCCAGCCCGGGGTTGAGCGCCTGGAAGGCCGCTGCGCAGGGCTCGGTGGGAGTGGGGCAGCCAGCGGTGAGAGAGAAGTAGGTGGCTAGAGACTCGCATGTGTTGCCCTGGGGTTTTGGGAGCGAGGAAAGGAGAGGAGGGGGGAGAATGGGGGAGGAGAGTGAAGGATGAGAGAGAAGGATGAAATAGAAGAATGGAAGGAGGCGAGGGGGAGGAAAACGGGCAGAAAGGCAGTCCGGGGTTGAGAGCCTGGAAAGCTGCTGTGTGGGGCTGGGGGTCAAGGTGGGCTCGGTAGTGGGATCTTTGGTCGGGGCAGGTGGTGGAGAGAGAGGGATGTAGGCAGCCAGTGACTCGCGCGTGTACCCAGGTGGGAGAACGATAGGAGAGCAAGGAGGGTGGGAATGGTAAGAGGGAACTGGGCAAGGGGTAGAGGAGAGCACGGATGTGAGGGTTGGGAGTAGGTAAGGGGAGTGGTGAATCACAAAGGGCATGGAGGAAGTGAGGAGCAGAGATTTGGGATAGAAAGGTGTTGGGAGTGAGGGGATGCAAAGAGGTGTTAAGACACAGCAGCAAGAGCGAGGTCAAAGAAGGGAGAGGGGGAGAATGGACGTAGGGAGAGTATGTTGGTAAAGCTGAGCGGCTAATGGGCTAAAAGAGCTTGTTCCATAGCGTTTGATCGTAGGTCTTACAGTGCTCATAGGACCACAGTACTCTTCCAACATCTCCCCTCATTTACATAGATATTAGAATCACAGGCACCTTCCATGGTGCACACTGGAATCCGAACGCGAAACCCTTGCTCTGATACCTTGTTGGTAAAGCTCAGCTGCTAACCACTAAACCTAAAAAGCTTGTTCCATAGAGGGTAAGCGTACCCATAACCCCCAAGGCCATCCTTGCCCGTGACCCTTTCTCAGGACCTTAGGCCGATCCCAATGCTCCTCCAACAGGGTCGGGTGGGAGTAAAGGAGGGGGGTGGGGAATGCGGGCAGGAGGGAGGAGGAAGGAGGGAGGGAGGGAGAGAGGGAGGGAGGAGGGCAGGAAAGCAGGGAGGGGGCGGACCTGGGACGTGGTGTAGTAAACGGAGCAGGGCATGAGGTCGGCTGGCTGGACCACATTCACCACCATACCGACAGCGAGAGGAGTGCTGCAGCTCAGGTCCTGGAGGGATCAGCGGGTGGACAGATGGGGTGGGTAGGAAGGGGGAGCATTGCGTGATTGGTGGGTGAGGTGGCGTGAGAATTGTGGGCAGACCCTTATGGGAGCACAAAGAGGAGGCTCAAGAAGCAGAAGGAAAGCAAGGGCCCACTAGGAGGCTCACGGGGTTCTGGGCTTGCAGCTGGGCGAGAGTGAGGCCGTAGACGGGGTGGATGTCGGCACACGTGACACCCCACGACACCACCGTGTATGTGCTGCTGGAGTCGCCTGTGCAGTGCGGTGCATAGTGGTGCAGATGGATTTGCCATGCAGATGCAATGGTGTGGTTAGGGATGAGCAAGGTGGCGAACACCTGTGCGAACCGAACAGGTTTTGTTTTTCAGCTTAAATCGTTCGCCCGAACGTGTTCGATGTTCGCCCGAACACGTTCGTGTTCGTGGCGCTGCTGCAGAACGCCCCGTGGCGAACACGAACGTGTTCGAGGTTCGCCCGAACACGCCTCCACAGGCGAACAGCGAACACCTGTTTTTTCCTAAACTGTTCGCCGAACCGAACACTGTTCGGTTCGGCAAAAGAGGGTGTTCGACAAGGGGCGAAGACGAACATGTTCGTGTTCGCCCTTTGCTCATCCCTAGGTGTGGTTGTGCGGAAGGAGTGGTGCAGACGGGAATGGGTGTGGTTGGGGGCCATGAGAGGGTATGCAGGTGAATGGAGATTGATGGTAATGATGGAGGATTATAGAGCCAGCATTGCAATGTGGGATGATGCGTTATCTACCAGTACGCTTTGTAGGAGCATTACTTGAATAAGAGTGGGAACAAGTGTAGCTCAGAACGAGAGGTATCTAGAGCGCAAGTGAGGGAGGTCACCTGGAGCACAGGAGAAGGTGCCATCAACAGTGGTGCCCTGCTTGAAGCCAGGAGGGCACACACACGAGTACGACCCCTTGCCATCATTCACACACGTGCCCACTGCACATGGATTGTGCACCGCTGCCCTGCATGCGTCCTCTGGGGATCAAGGCAAGAGATGAAAGACACAGCCAAGGGAAACTCGGTCATGTTCTTCTCAGCGAGACACGACAGAATCAGACGAGGCTGGAAAGGAGAGAGCACACACTGTACGCATAAGAGGGAGTGCTCACTGTAAGCACAGGAGGGAGTGCACACGATAGCACAGGAGAGAGTGCTCACTGTAAGCACAGGTGCGCGAGTTGTCCGGTTGAAGTGCCTCAACGAATCGCGGGTCGTTGCAGTCGCAGTGGTTGCTGGCCCCATCAGGCGTGGGCATGCATGTGAAGTTGCCACAGGGGTTGAAGAGCGGCCCAAATACCCCACTGGTGGTGCCGTTGACGTTGCAGGGGTCCTTGGCAGCGCGCACCACCGGGTAAATCCCAGGCAGCGTGTTGATCCCACACACGCCGTCGCCCCCCTGGATGTCCATCCGCATGTGCCCGCCGTCGCCCCACTCCGGGCCCCATGAGTTGCGGATGATCCAGAAGGGCGGCGCCATGTGCGGGAAGGTGGGGTCTAAGCCGGTGAGGCGATAGCCCACCAGCAGCACCACGTGGTTCAGGTTGTACGTGAAGCACGACGGGTCCGCGTACTTGGATAGCTGGGGTGGGAGGGGGAAGGGGGAGTGCGGGGGAGGAGTGAGGGGTGCACGGGTATGGAATGAAATGTGGGACCACGTGGTTGATGTTGCAGCAGAGGTTCGACTCCCATTCTCCACAGTACACCTACCAGCCCTCAAAGATGTGCGATTTTGCGTGTGTGTGTGCGTGCGTGCGTGCATGCGTGCGTGCGTGCGTGAGTGCATGTGTGTGTGTGTGTGTGTGTGTGTGTGTGTGTGTGTGTGTGTGTGAGTTAGAGTGGGCTCACCCCATCGTATTTGAGGAAGGAGGGGGCAGTGGCCTGCACATGCACCACCACGGGCTGTCGCTGCACGGCCAGCAGCAGCCCAAACCAGCCGTGGAACGCCGTCCGCTCAAACCCGTTAACTCTGAACGGCCCCCCCGATGGCTTGCTCTGCCGTGGGGGCATGGGACGAGGGGTGCGGGAGGAAGGGTAGGGGAGAAGGGATAATGGAGGAGGGGTAGGAGAGGGGGATAAAGGAGGAAGGATAGGGGAGGGAAGGGGCATATGGGAGGTGGTGAAGGGGAGGTTGGGTTAAGAGAGAGGGTATGTGGGAGGTGGAATACAGGACAAGACAACATGGGAGTAGTGGTGGAGGTCAACGTGCTTGGTGAAACTGTTCCCTGAGGGTTTGTGAGGATGTGTTCCATCTTGTGCTGGCCACGCTGCACACAGCTGTGTGCACCCTAAGCTGGCCTTGACCTCGCAAAACAAAGGAAGTAGTGGTGCAAGGGCAAAAGCGCCTTAAGCGGGCCACAAAAGAAGGAAATATTGGCAAATGGATGTCAATGTGCTTGGAGCGGCTGTGGTGGATAGTATAAATTGTATGCGAGTGCAACTAATTTATGTAGGTCCTTCAAGCAAGGACCATAAAATTCAAGGCAGCCTCATTCTAACAGCAACAGTCTCAGGGAGCCCCTCACAACAATGGATTGTAGTAGGCACATGACGAGATACCTGATGAGGTCAATACACCTGACAATGGGAATGGCATCTGACAATGGGAATGGCACCTGACAATGGGAATGGCACCTGACAATGGGAATGGCACCTGACAATGGGAATGGCACCTGACAATGGGAATGGCACCTGACAATGGGGATGGCACAAAAATATGTATCATGAAAAGACCGGAGTAGGCACCTGGTGCGGGATCCATGAGGCACGCAAGCAGGCACCTGCCTTGACACCTGATGAAACAACTAGCAATGACTAGATGGACCCGCCACTTGATGGCGACGACACCATTTGTACCTACCGAGGTTTTTGTTGTGGAAGTTTCTTTACAATTCCCAGCCAGCCAGGTGAATCCAATCGTATTGCATACAAATGGAAACATTGCCAGCAGAATAAAAAACCGGGAAAGAGAAGTAACTTACGGATCCTGGGGTGGGTGTGGCCTCTGCCGGAAAAAAACCCACATTAGGCCGCCTAGTGCCAAACAAAGAAAAACAAGGTAAGAAAAGAAGCATACCGATCCGGGGGCCCGGCCTTTGGCGCAGGAGATCCCAAGCGCTTGCACGAGCAGAGAAAAGATGGGCATGCCACACAGCGGGCTGTGGCTGCCACTCTTCTTCCCCCCCCTCCCTCTCACCACCGCCCCAGCCCCATCCTCCATGAGTCCCACTTTGCTCTTGGCGTTGAGAGTGACGAGGTACTGGAAGGCCTGGGAGGGCGAGTTGCCCTGCGAGCATGAGGCGCCGAGGGCGCTGCGCAGCTGGGTGTGAGAGAGGAGCGGCACGGCGGAGAGGTTGAAGAGAATGCTGTAGGCCACTTCCACGCTGCCCACCACCGCGTATGCCCAGCAGTCGCCTGAGCGAGAGGAGAGGGGGAAATGGAATCAGGGTGGGGTTGAAGTGATGGGAAGTTAAAGTGGGTTTGTATGCTGACAAAGACCGTGTATGCCTAGGATGGAAGAGCAGGAGGGGGCACGAGGGAAGAGATACCGGGCCTATTGTGTCTGGCGTTCTGACTAAAATACTTTTTTCTTACGACTTCCCTCATTTTTTCAGATTGGTACCGGTAGACTTAGTTCTATAGATCGTTCTTAATCTCTTAGAAGGCTGGCAGGGGTTCGAAACCAACCGATTTCAACAAAGGAGGGGGCATGAGGGAAGAGATTGGGGAAGGGGAGAGAGGGAAGGGGATAACGGGAAGGGCAGGAGTGGACAAGCCACAGCAGTTCTTTTCTCACCACAGCATTCCAACATTGCCTGCCCTCTCATGACCTCTTGCGCCCAAGCCCTTCTAGATCCAAAGTGAAGAAAACTTATAACAATTCATACCATACATCCCATCCCATCCCATCCAATTCCATTGCATCCTGACCCATCCCCTCCCTTCCCCTCCCCTCACCTCCCATCCCCTCCGCTCCCATTGCCACTCCTCCAATACCTTCCCAACCCTTCCCTCCTTTCCCCTCCACTCCCCTTCCTTCACCTCCCTTCCCCTCCCCTCCCCTCCCCTTTCCTCCCCTCCACTCCCCTACCCTCCACTCGACTACCCTTTCCTCCCCTCACGTCCCTTCCCTTCGCCTCCCCCCTCCTCCCCTCCCTGCCCTTCCCAACCCCACCCCCATGCCCTCACCGCAGGCGCCCTGGTTCTGGACAGGCCACAGCAGCCCCTGATCGGCCCAGGAGAACGCCTGGCTCACAACCCACACCTCCTCCTCCTCGCCCCCTCCGCCTCCGCCCCCCCCTCCTCCGCCTGGTGGCTGCACTGCCTGCATGCCCACACTGGCATAGCGGAAAAACAGGTTCGCGCCCACTGGTGACAGCGATGCCTCACTCATCTGCAACCCAAACTGCTGGCCTGGTGGGCGGCGGAGAGGGGAGGGAACGGTGGGGTAGATTAGAGTGGGGTAGGAGAGGGTAGGGTGGGGTGGGAGGAATGACATAACATGCGTGGGAGAAGTGGAAAGGAAGCTTAGGACTTGAGGTGCAGTGTGGGCAGTTGTGGGGGGGTGTGGGGTGGGGAGGGGCCAATGCGGTAGAATGGAGGAAGTGCTGAATGGGGGCAGTGGAACTGGTGACGGATTTGGGAGAGGACTTGAAAGAGAATTGGATGACCAAAGGGACGCAGTAAGGAAGAGAATAAAGCCATTGAAATGGAAGGTTGTGGGTATATGCCAACTCAAGTAAGTTGCACCTGTAAGAGTAATTGATTCCGGAAGGCCTGTAAAAAGAGTGAGAAACAGGGATTGAGAGAGAAGCGAAGTGAGGCGGGGCGGAGAAATCAATTATTTGGACAATGTAAGGAACTGTAACAGCAATGAGGACGTAACACACGCATGTGAACTTGGGTACAGCATGGTAGGGAGAGATGTTGAGTGAGCCATTCATGGTGAGAGAACCAATCATGGATGAGTTATCAGACACCAATGAGACAACAGACACCAACTAATGTGGAGCAGCACGGATGGAGCATGCGACAGCAGCAGCCAGCAGAGGGCAGCAGTAGGGACCTGTGGTGATGTTCCAGGTGAGGATGGAGTGGAGCTGCGGGGAGTCAGAGGAGGAAGCAGTGAAGCCCATGAGGAACGACGCCTCGGCTGCACTGGGCTGCAGGAACTCCCACAGTGACACCTGCATCGCCAGCACCGCCTTGCCCGGCCGAGGGGACCCCTTGGCCGACAGAAACACTCGCAGCCACCCCGTGCCACTGCTGCAGCTGCCATAGCCAGCTCCGGCTCCAGTGGTGGAGCTACAGGAAGAAGGAGAGGGTTCAAAGACGATCCAGGCGTGCTTTGACTTGCCGTCGTTGAGAGTGAAGGGCGCTTTGGCAGTTGCAATGGAAGAGGTGTTGCCCCTCACACTCACTCCCACGTGGCTCTTGGCCGGGTCGTTGGCATCGGTGCTCCTGGCTGTGTCAAACTCCACTGCAATGCTGCGCTCATCCATGCCTGCATACCCCAAACTGCCGCCCCCACCACTGCCATTACTACTGCCGCTGCTACCGCCCGTCGCAGCGTCAGTGGCGGCAATCACAAATGCAAACCCATCGCCTGCGTCAACTGCTGCTGTGGCTGCTGTTGCTGCTGCTGCCTTGCGGGATTTGGCTGGTTTGAGAATGGAGAAGGAGAAATAGACGGTGAAGGCCAAGGGGCGACCGCAGGCACCGGCCTTGAGGGCGAAGGAGAAGAGTGGGATGGGTAGTTGGAGGAACGCTGCACCCCATGTGATGGGCTGTGAGGCAGTAAGTGTGATGCGCCCATTACTTGCCACTGCCGCCCTCCCCTTCACTGCTGTCTGTGCTGCTGTCGGCTGCACGATCACTGGGCCGCCCTCCTGACCTGTTGGTGGGGGAGGGGGTCAGGGCAGCCGGCAAGCGGGCAGAAACGCACAGACAGAGAAGGTCGTCGTTAATAAGCAGGGATTTGAGAGGTCTGCGGCAAGAGAAGGGACGACCTTGAGGCGGCCTTAAGACTGGCTTGGATAATAAGCAGGGATACACGAGCAGGGCAATGAATAAAATATCTTCGGCACTTCCAACCCGCTTCAACAGCCGTATGCACTGTGGCGATTACCAGGGCGCCTGAAAATCAGCACTCTGGCCGAGTTTTGAGGCACCTCAAATCCAGGGCGCCTAAAAATCAGTACTCTGGGCTACACAGCCACTGGGGTGCCTCTTCCGGCCTGGTGGGGGAGAACGGGAGCTCTTCTGCCTCTTCTCGGGATGGCATACAGTAGCAGGCAATTCTGGCCTGGTGGGGGAGAACGGGAGCTCTTCTGCCTCTTCTCGGGATGGCATACAGTAGCAGGCAATTCTGGCCTGGTGGGGGAGAACGGGAGCTCTTCTGCCTCTTCTCGGGATGGCATACAGTAGCAGGCAATTCTGGCCTGGTGGGGGGTGGCGGCATACGTGGATGAGCTGCCTGACTGTAAACTGTGTTTGTGTACAAGACGTGAGCAGGAAGGACCCACAAATCTTGGGGATCTCCCGCAGAAAACAGCCACAACCACACAACCCACACAACCCACACAACCCACACAACCCACACAACCCACACAACCCTCACAGCCCTCGCTCCCCTCTTCCCAGCCCTGTTCCTCTATGTCAACGGGAGTTGGGTATTGGCCCCGTCCTCGCTTGGGCGGAGCCGACTTCGTGGTCGGGTGTGAGGGGAGCAGCCGGCCTTCAGCAGTGGGTGAGCTGGTCGACGAGGAGGTCGACCTGCACGGGGGACCACTGCACGGGCGCCGACTTCAGGGAGGTCGACTTGGGTGTCGACCTGCGGAGGACGTCAACTTGGTGACGTCAACTTGGGGAAGCCGACTTCGGCAGTCGGCTAACGGACTGCTGGTCGACCTGTTAGTGGTCGACTGGACCTGGTGGTCGACGAAGGAGGGGCCGATATCGACCTCGACTCAGGACGCCGAGCAGTTGGGCGTCGAGTAGCAGGGCGTCAACTTCGTGACGCCAGCTTCGGGTGGCCGACGTGGGTGGTCGGCCGACGACTGTGCTGGTCGACGAGGAGCAGGTCTACCAGGAGTGCTGGTCGACGTGGAGCTGGTCGACCAGAGGGGATGTCGACCTGGAGGAGGTCGACCGATGGTGTCGTCGACCTGGTGAGGTCGACGTGGAGGTGGTCGTCGACTTGGGAGGTCGATGGGCACGTGCAGGAGCTGCTGGTCGACGTGGTTGCCTGGTCGACCAGGTTACCTGGGTGACGAAGTGCTGCGGAGGAGTGCGACGGTCTCCCAGGCGAAGTTGGCGAGCCCGACCTCGGTGGTGGTATCCCGAGGTCGTCGTGGCCGATCAGAGGCAGTCGTCAGCTCGAGGTTGACGTGGTGTGTGCGCTGTGAAGGTGACAAGACTCTGCGCGCCAATTATCTGCGCACAACTGCGAAGCAGGGTGCACTGCTGTCCTGCGTGAGCAACGCTGTCACGCCGTCAACCTGCGACGTTGGCACGCCGTCGACCTTGCCTTGCTGGAGCGCGGTCGACGAAGTCGTGCTGGAACGCGGTCGACCAAGCTGCGCTGGCAGTTGGCCGACCTGAATGCTTGCTCTGATGTAGTCTTGTTATGCCAACTTTATTGTACCCTTTTGTTCTGAACTTTTTCCTAGTGAAACTCTTGCCAATTTTCCCCGTGAACTAGCAAGTAGTGTGTGCACAAGGAAAACGACTAAGGACTAACGAACGCAGAGATCACACGAGCACACGTGCCTAGCCCGTAGCCTAGCTTCCCGTTGCTGCAGTTATCTCCGCACTCTAAACCCCCCTTTCACCCCCCTTCTTCCTGGAACTCACTTCCTTCGAGGACGCAGCTTCCAGGCAACTCCCCGTTGACAAACCCAGACTCGCAATCACACGTGGGCACTCTGCTGGGCCCGTCCACATAGCACGAGCCATGGCCGCCACACGGGGGATCGGCAGCACTCACGCCGCAAAACACATCGCAGAGCTCCTCCGGCCGCTGCACCGCTGCATCCGCAGCAGAGGGCGTGGCAGGCGTGGGGCAGGAATAGCTTTGGTTGGGGGGTTGGAGGCAGTTGAAGCGGAAGGAGATGGAGCCTTGGGAGCAGTTGGGCGGGGAGGAGAAGCCTGAGGAGAGGTAGTTGTTGTCGAGATCGTAGACTGTGAGGTTTGCTGGGATGGGCTGCAGTACGGGGCCTGTCAGCTGGTTGTTGCGCAGGTTGCTGGGAAGAAGTAGGGAGGGAGGGGAAGGAAGGGAGGAGGAAGTGGGGAGGAAGAGAAAAGGACGAGGGAATGCTCAAAAGGAGCCTTTGAGAAAAGGACGAGGTTAATGGTCCGTTTGGAGGAGGTTGGAGGGCTTGGGATGCAACAACCGAGAAAGGAGAAGGGGAGGTGAAGCTGGAAGGGAGGAGAGGAGAGAGGGGAGGGAGGGAGAAGGCTGGGTGCAAAAGGGGAGGAAACTACTTGGAATAAAGGGGAAAGTGGATCACTGAGCGGTTCTACTTTCTTGCATATTATTTCCATCAAGGCACGGAATAAGTACTGTGAGGTATGCATGAGATACAACTTTGAGACGTCCAAAACATCAGCAGGGTGAAAGAGCTGGAGATTGAAACAGAACAGGGGGAAGGGAGGAATGAAATGGATTCTAAGGAACATCAAACATTGTTTCGTATCAGGATTGGAGACATTTCAATTAGATTTGCAGGCATCGGGGAGGGGGGGAGAGGGGCGGGGGGGAGGCGGGAGGGGGGAGAGGGGCGGGGGGAGAGGGGCGGGGGGAGAGGGGAAGCTACGGATGGGGATGCGAGGAGGCCAGTAGGCGGACGTAGGGGTGAGCAAAATCACGAACGCCTGTTCGGTTCGCCTCGAACACGTTCGAGGCAAACCGAACAGGCTTTTTTTTTTGGCCTTAAGTGTTCGGGGCGAACATGTTCGATGTTCGCCCGAACATGTTCGTGTTCGGGGCGCTGCTGCAATTTGCCCCACGTCGAACACGAACGTGTTCGAGGTTCGCCCGAACACGCCTTCACAGGCGAACACCGAACACCCTTTTTGGCTAAAAGTGTTCGCGGAACCGAACACTGTTCGGTTCGGCGAACGGCTGTGTTCGTGCAGGGACGAACACAAACACGTTCGTGTTCGCCCCTTGCTCACCCCTAGGCGGACGCATAGGAGAGTGGATGGGATGATGCAGGGCGGACGCACAGGAGAGTGAGGCGGACAAGGCCGGTGAGCTGAGTGGGGATGGTTCCATGCAGACGATTGTTGCTCAGGTCACTGAGATGAGACAGCAAGATACAAGTAGGTGAGAGACAGAGATCTGAGAGGGGATTGGAGGGGAGGGATGGGATGGGTGGCTACGAGAGTTGAGGCGGCATTTAGACATCTCAAAACGCAATGTGGATTGGTTATGACGGAGAGAGACACATTTAGTTGTAAGTCAAAACATGGTATAAATGGAAAAATGAGCCTCATTACAGACAGTACAACACTGCTGTGATAATTAGTTGCTGTACAGAACTAAGGGGGATTTCTGTAGCAACGAGAATTAGCAGTCAGCAGTGGTAAAGGCCTATCGTGGACATAAAGACTAGTGAAGGGCGAAAAAAAAAACTTCCTCCATCCTTGAATCCTGGTTAGTGGACAGACAGAAGCAATTGATTGATTCTGGCAAGCACTACCACTAGCTAGCTACCTTTGTTCACAACTCAATCAGCAAAGGCCATGCTTTCTTGGCAAGTGGGCGTCCAAGTCCCGGCGCAGATTCTCTCAATGGATACTGCTGTGCGCGCAAGCAAGCAGCTATATGTACGTATATCATATACTCAATGTTGTTTAGGAAACACATGTTGTGTAGGAAAAACCATGTAGTGTAGGCACGCCTGCGACGACCACTCACATGGCTTCCAGTTTTAACAGGCCTCCGAGAAGAGTGGGCAGGGTGCCGTTGATCTGGTTGCAGCAGAGGTTGCTGCAGTGCAGGGTGTGCAGAGTGAGAGAATGAGATAGAGAGAGCGAGAGAGAGAAAGATAATTGAAACAAAGGACCATTCGAGAGAGGGTGCGCACATGGGGGAGTTGGGCAGTGGAGGAGGAAAGGAAGGAGTAGGGCTGAGGACAGATGAGAATTCACGCAAACACATAGCTGCTGAAATGGGAAACGAGCGCGAGAACGGCACATGTCAAACAGCAGGGCGGGGAGTGAGAGTGGGGGGTATGGGACAGAGTGGGTCTGGTGAGTGGGGAGTGTTAGAATTAGGCTGTCAACACTTTGTGTACTATATTCTATATCGCGTAGGTTATTTGCGGGTTGGGTGTAGTTTGTAATCCCAACCCTATCTGGTTGGGATTCCCTCGTAATCCTGCAAATCTGCCAACTCACCAATTGGAGATTTGCTAGGATTCCCATCCCATCCTTTCCCTAGCCTTGCCCATCCCAACCTCGTTTGTACTTAAGGCCTAGTGCCTTCTTTCCTAATCAATCAGTTCAGTTCCAATTCTATCATGGTATCAGAGCTAGCAAATTCCGCTCACGCGGAATCCGATCCTTGGCGTTGCGATCATTCTCTTCCTCTCGGCTATGGCGTTCTCGGTTCACGCCTTCTTCGCTTAGCGTTTTTCATCTTCACATCGTCGCACTGGTCAAAAGCGCTTTCCCGCTCCGTTTACGTGCATTTCCGATTTCCACGGCGGCACATTTCTCCGTCAATTTCCTTCATCGTAAGCTCTGAAATTTCAAATTTCCGTGGCAATTTTCTCACATTCGAAACTTCCAGCAGGTTTTCATCGGTGCAGCAGAGCAGGTTCAGCGGCGCAGCAGAGCAGGTTCAGCGGCGCAGCAGAGCAGGTTCAGCGGCGCAGCAGAGCAGGTTCAGCGGCGCAGCAGAGCAGGTCAGCGGCGCAGCAGGGCAGGTTCAGCGGCGCAGCAGAGCAGGTTCAGCGGCGCAGCAGAGCAGGTCAGTGGCGCAGCAGAGCAGGTTCAGCGGCGCAGCAGAGCAGGTTCAGCGGCGCAGCAGAGCAGGTTCAGCGGCGCAGCAGCACAGGTCAGCGGCGCAGCGGAACAGGTCATCGGCGCAGCAGAAAAGGGGTCATCGGCGAAGCAGAGAAGCAGAACAGGAATCGCAATCTTATTGCCGAAATCGCACATTTTCGCTCCGCTTCGCTCCGCTTCGTATCGTTGACTTTAGCGCTGCCCTCCGCGCGAATGGCGACTTCAACTTCTACCCTAGTCGGAAACCTCATCGTTCTCAACCTCGCTCCCAACGGCACGAGCACCAACTTTGGAGAATGGTGCTATGGGGTGGAGAAGCACCTCCTTAGCACGGAACTGAAGGGGATTTGCCTCAAGGACGTCCTCCTCAACCGCGGCAAGGGAAAGATGCCTCTCCCTCCCGATCCCCTTGGCGTAGGCGCCACTGCCGCAGAGAAGGCCGCTTTTGACGCTCATACCACCAAGTACGAGACTGATTTCAGTGTGTGGGAGCAGGCAGATGCAGCAGTTATTAGGGTTTTCATCACCACCACTCCGGTTGAGCTCGTCAAATCCTACCGCACCTTTCGCTCCGCTCATGCGATTTGGAAGTACCTCCAGGACCGTTTCCATGACAAGACAACAGTGGGTGTTGCCATCCTCATCCCTCGAATGTTCCAGGTCCGCCTTGAGGAATGCCCTGGCATGGCAGATTACATCTCTGAAATCCGCAACATCCATGAGGAACTCAAGGACATTGGGATCATTTTCCCCGAACAGGCACCTGCAGCTGGCCTACTTGTAGGACTGACCCCGGCCTACAATGTCACCAGCTCCATGCTCAAGCAACTTCCCACCAAGGAACTCACCTTCGAAAAAGTCGCATCGGCTCTCCTTTCCGCCGAAAAGGACCTTGCAGCCCAAGCATCCGTCAATGCTGTGCGCTACACCCCTGGAATCCCATTCCGCTCCCAACAAGGACCAAGGCGCAACTCCTTTCCCCCATGCCCCTACATCATTAGGAAAGGCCCACGTGCGGGGCAGAAATGCGGAGGCACCAACCACCCTGAGGCAACTTGCTTCAAGAAGCGAGATGATGAGTGGTACGACGTCCATGGTGTCTCCACCAACAAGCGCACTCCCAACTAGGCCCCACCCCGTCGCGTGAACCATGTCGAGGCAGTGGAGGTGCCCAGTCCCTCAGTTGATAGCACCCCATCTGATATTCGCCTCAACCTGTTGTTCTCTGGTGCTGGTCTTATTAATGAGAAGGGGTCACAGTACATCGGTGTTTCAAACACACAAGGGATCGAGTTCATACTAGATAGTGGTGCCACCCACACAGTGCTCAAAGACCAGACCGCGTTCGTTCCTTACCAGGCCCCCATCTCACTCCTCGGAGCCGACTCTAGCTTCTCCATCCAATGCCATGGGTCCTCCACAGTTCCTTGTCCAGCATTTCCATCGGGCACAGTCACTGGTATCTGTGCCCCCACCCTCCGCCACAACCTCCTGGCACAAAGTGAAATCCAACAAGCAGGAGTGATCACCATCTTTCCCAATGATGTCGACTACTGTGACCTCTTCGACGCCAAAACCGGCATTCATCTAGCTCGCTTCACTCTCAACTCCAACAACCTATACACGCTCGTAGTACCTCCCATTCAAACGTGCTCCCTCACAAACCTCTCGTTACCTTCCCTTGACTCCTCCACCTGTCACTGCCGCCTCCTTTCCGACAAAACCATGCTCTTTCATCACTGCCTTGGCCACATCAACTTTTGCGCGCTTTCAGACCTTGCCACAAAACAACTCCTCCACGGGCTTCCAACCTCACTTCCCTCTCCTACCTCCACCCTAGGGCCGCCTTGCCTTGACTGTGCACAGAGCAAGCTTCGTGAACAGCCCCATCCCCCCACTGAGTCCATCTCCGCTGCACCTCTCGATCGCGTGCACATGGACCTTTGGGGCCCAGCTCCTGTTCGCTCTCGCGGTGGACACTTTTACTTCCTTGTCATCATTGATGACTATTCCCGCTATGTGTCTGTCCACCTTCTCTCCTCCAAATCCGAAGCCCCAGGCGTCATCATTGAATGGGCGAAGCAGGCTCACAAACACTTCAAAACCACCATCAAGGTCCTTCAGTCTGACGGTGGCGGTGAATTCCGCAACAACACTCTCAAAGCTTTCTGCTCCACTGAGGGTATCCGTCAGACCTTCACTCTCCCGGACAGTCCCCAACAGAACGGTATTGCCGAAAGCCGGAACCGTACATTGGTGCAGATTGCTCGCTCCCTCCTCACGCACGCCTCCGCCCCTCCCTCTCTCTGGGGGTACGCCATGCTTCATGCTGCCGCCCTCCACAATCTCCATCCCCATCCTCATCACACCCACACCACCCCCGCTGAGCTATGGACGGGTCAAAAGCCATCCGTCCGCCCTCTTCGTGTATGGGGGTGCACTTCCTATGTCCTCCTCAACTCCCAAGCCCGTCGTGCGGCTGGCGGCAAACTTGCTCCCAAAACGATCACGTGCGTATACCTCGGGCACAACTTAGATTCGCCAGACTATCTCTTCCTCCATCCTTCCACCAACAAGCTCTATCGCAGCCGGGACGTTTACTTTGATGAGTCCCACCCATTCTACCCCTCCTCCACGGCTTCCCCCTCTCCTCCGCCTCCCTCTCT